CTTCTGATTTCCTTGTTCTTTAATTTTCCAACGGATCAAGAGGCAATAGAACTGTACAGGCTGCACGTTTCTTCCCTGGTTCACTGCCAGTGAAAAGGCTGGGGACAGTAGGGCCTTGTCGGCTGCAGCCACTGACTCAGCAGCCATCAGCACAAGGACAGAGGTTCTGCTGCGTTCCTTACTTTACCTTCTTTCACTGGCATCAGCTGTTAGTTTTGCGTTTTTCCAAGTTACCTTGACTTCCTTCCCATAGTTGCATTTTCACTAATTTCCCCTCAGCCTAGAAATCTGGTGGCACAAAAGCCGTCTTTCACAAGTGGTCAGGCTCTCAGCAGTTGAGATGACTCAGTAATATCTGCAACCATACATTTAATAAGGAAAATCTAAATTATATATGTCTCTGATGAAATTGAAACTGCATCAACTTTTGTTTTTTTCTAGTGACAGGAATTGGCTTTCAGATTGGAAAGGTAGAGCTGGTGTTTTTAGAATGTGCCGTCCAAATATAAAGTGCATCTCAGTTTCCAGATATGTGGATTCTGAAACTTCTTATCTTGCTTTAGATTTTATGAATTTGTATCTCGTTTTAACATACCTATAGACAATGGAGCCAGGTAATATAGACCGAATACTTAAAAACAAGTACTTTTGTCACATTTGAAAGAAAATACATTTTATGGAAATAATTTAAAATCAGCTGACTTGGTTATTTCAAAATAGTTTCCCATAATTGTTATTATATATTCTGAAGCCTAAGATGTTATCTTATTTGATAATCTGTTTAAAAAATGTGAATGAATTATGGTAGCATTGGAAACATTTACAAAAATAGTTATCTGTAGGTTTTTATTTTATAACTAGCCTCCCCCATCAAAGATAATAGTTACACTTTCAGTGAAGTGAAGAATAGTCAGGGAAGTGATCTTGACTAGACATTTGATTCTTGCTGAAACAAAACTGGCTTGCAGATCTGGGAAAGGCGAGGTAGGGAAGATGGATGGTTTAGGAGGAGAGGCATATTTGTACAGTCTCCTATAAGGGGGTAAAATTTGGAACTCAGATTTTCATTAACTCCATAGAGTTACATGACTGATACAGAAGCACAGAGCTCCTTCAAGGATTCAGCCTGTTGGAATTTCTTAGCTTTTTGTTATCAAGACTTCTTTATACTCTTAAAATTTATTGAGGACCCCAAGAAGCTTAATATTTGCTATGTTACAAATTAAAAGTGATAAAACTAAAAAATATAAATTCATGAAAAATACCCAAAATAAATTCATTATAAATAGCATATTTTCATGAAAAATAATAGTTTATGAAATCATGAAAAAATATCATTGCTGTGAGTTTTTGTCAATCTCATTAACATCTGGCTTGTTTAAAGACAGCTAGATTCATACATGGGCTTCTGCAATCTGTCATTTGGAATATTTCACTATAAGTCTTGAGAGATGAGAGTAGAATAGACAACTTATATTTTAGTAGTAGTAAGAAAACATTTTTGGACTCATGAACTCCTGAGAGGATTTCAGGGACTTCTTGGCAGGAGCTGGGTGGGAGGGGGTCCCTGGACTATACTCTGAGAACCACTGGATGAAACTATATATATTTCTTGATGACCATTTCCTTGGTATCTTTTCTTCTGCTCCTTGGGGCCTGGTAAAATATTCTTTATGTTGACTCCTCAAATGTGTTTACTGATTTAAATTTCCTCTATAAAATTCCAGGGGAAGGAACCATCTAGTGAATCAGGCCTTCACTTCCTTTTCACAATGCCTTTCCCCTTAATTAGTCATGCTGTAAGAATCCATCTCACTCCTTTGACTCAGCCGCCATAGAGGTGCCACCAGACTCTTTTTACTATGCCTGATGACATTGTAGACTGGTTACAAATCAAGATAAGTAGTTCAGGAAAAAAATATTCCCTTTTCAGTGCAAAGAATTCTAGGAAGTCTTGGAGGTTGCTGGGAGAAAGAAACTAGAATTGTTTCCTAGAAACGGAGTGGAAAAGTCTTTGGAGAAGTTTTTGGGGGCCTAGCTGGCACATGGGATCCACTCTGCTCTCCAGGAAGCATATGCCACCTTCTAGTTTGCATTTCTGCACCAAGGCAGTGGCAGGTGTCCCGAAGAGTGAGTGGGAAGTAATCATCAGCTCTCCAAGTAACAGCATTTTCATTTGCTAAATGTTATGTTAATGTTCTCCAAACCGATGGTAGAATTATACAAACTTAGGCTGAAAATATGGATACTGTTCATATTAAGTTTTCAGACTTTTGATAAAATGTAGGTAAATATCAAAAAGTATCATAAAAATTATACAGTAAATTTTATGTAGAACAAATATGTGTACAACTGACAACATTTACATTGGAAAATTTTATTTATCAGCTATGTTAGAAAAATGCCTGCATGAATATAGCAGCATACAAACAGTTGCTTTTGCATTTGACTTGCAAATAAATGGAAGCAACAACATTTTAAAAACTGCATGATTTTGTGTGCTTTATCTGGATGAGTAGTGGCATTTTCTAACTGCTTGCCTCTTGGGCACATAAGTCATCATGGTACATCTTTACTAATAGACTTTGAACTTCTTTCTCTGTCCTTTTCTTCTGGGCCGTATATTGCCGCCTTTAGCGCTTCAGCATGGAAGGGATCTCAAATGTCATTCAGAATGGCCTCCGCCACACCTTTGGAAATTCAGGTGGAGAGAAACAGGTGCTCGGTTATCCTTATTTTCCTCATTCTCTGCTTTTTCATTTTCTGTGTAAGTGAAGATCCTGAAAGCCGGTAGTTTTACTAATTTACTAAGACCATTGCTTAAAAGAGAGAAATCAAAGTTCATTATAAAAGTTCATTATATTTATAGTCTTGATAATGAACAGAATTTCCCTTTGAGGAAAAAGCGTTTTTCAAATTGGACATTAGATTAAATGCATTCTTAAGACATATTTTAGAGCTCCATTTCTCACTCTTAGTTTTAAACAAATAGACATTAACATTTTAACATAATGTATTGCATGTGTAGAAAATCTGCTTATGAAAATAACTAAACTAAAATATGTGACTCTAATTCTAAAAGTCTAAGCAAGATGTCATTTTTGGGGTAAGGCCAGTTGTTGGTATTTGAGACTAGAGTTCTAGGTAAAAAATATATACAGAGTATATCTTACCTCCTTTAAGTGAAATTCATGTGTTTTTAAGGTGTATTGCCTAGTCAGCCAACTCAGTTGTCAGCCAAACGAGCCTGAGACATTATTTATACAAAATTATACATAGATATTAATATACAATGAAGTATCTAGCAATTTGCTTTTTGACATTTTTATATAATGATTGAAGGAATATCATGAACATGGGAAATATTCACATTAATGGGTGTGCTTAAACTTACCTTTCACTGTTTGAAATTTTCACCTTAAAAAGAAAACTAAAGTTAGCTCTTCTGTGCAGATTAAGAAGGTATACAAAATGTACCTTGTAGGAAGTTTAGCACGAGAATGCCTAGATCAAATGCGTGGAGTTTTTCTGAAGTCATTGCTATGTGTTTCATAAGTCATTGCTATTAAAGAGAGAAGTTTCACACTGACATTTGCAGCTCCATGAAGGGATGCCTGAATTTTTGTTTCCATTCTGGTGTCTCTCACCTCTCTCAACCTCACAAGAGGTCAAGGAAACTTCCGAACTGTGAGTGGAGCAGGGAGGCCTGACAACGCAGCCAGGTAGCCAGAGAGCGGGCCAGGGTGCAGCCTCCTGGTGCCTCTCCAGGGTGCCTGACACATGCTGTGAGTGAAGCCAGGAGGGCATAATTTATGGCCTTTTTTTTGGTTGTTCTTTACAAAGAAACATTCGATTATACAATTGGGCATCACCTGCGAGAAGTCTGCATCAAAAAGACAGTGGAACACTTAAGTGTCTTAAAGATTGAATGATACAATTTTATCACTTTTCTGGACTTAGGGATCCAGTTATTGTAAAGCAGCTTTCTTTATCTTGTTTTTCAATTATAGGCAGGATAAGATCACTCAATGAGGATTAGCCACAGAGCTGAGATTTAGGGCACCAGGTTAAATAATGGGTGGAGCTAAAGAGATTCCAAGTAAAAACCACTGGCTTTCTGTATGAACATATGTGAAATGCACGGAACTATCCATTTTTTTTGGTGGGATGGTAAGAATAGGAGAATCTGGATAATCATTTATGGATTATGCTTTCATGGGATTAGTTATAAGACATGGCTCTGTTACTTGTGAGCCTTTACAAGTAGTAAACTAGGCAGTTTGTCTCCATTTCAGACGTTAATTTTCACTATTCATTTCCCTTTAGGCCATTCTCTACTTTCACTTTTTTCCTTTAATACCTAAAAATGTTTATAAAGACTTATCCAGTAATTTAAAATAATAGTAATAATGCATTTCTAAAACTATTTAAGTGTGTCTTTGTTAGTGTCTGAAAGAAGTTAGTGAGTGTTTTTAAAAGTTGTCATATTATATATGTGGCCCGTTTGTTCAACCAGAATAAAAATGGTCTGAAACAGAATTATTTTGCTGTTGGAAATTACTTTATTGTGCAGAACAATTAAAACTGTTTTTAGTTTAAGTTGCTATTTTCATAATGTGTTGAAAAATATGCAAGGAGAATGTGAGATAATACTTCATTTTAAAAATGAACACATTGAGTAAATCATCCTCAGGCTTAGTCCTATGAAATTTTCAATAATTGAAATGCAAAAAAGTGGTTATTTCTGTTGACACTAGGTTTTTATCAAGCAAATAGAGATGGGCCAAAAAAAAAAAAAGAAAATGAGCTCCATCTGAGATAGTAAGATACCTTTATTCCCATACAAGACCTGTGTTTTCATTACCAGAGTAGCTCGTGTTTTATATTATGAAGTAGACCTTCTTGTAATAGTATCAAATTTTTTGCAGGTAAGGAAATGCAGATTTAAGTGACGTATTGTTTTGTTTTTTTAACTTGGCAGTATTTGACTACAGTCATTCCTTATGAGAAAAAAAATGGACCACCATCTGTTGAAGATCTTCAAATATTAACAAAAAGTGAGCAAAGACCAAATGAAACTATTACCTGATTTACTTTTGCTGATTAGTAAACACCTGACTTTAGCTAGCTGATTTTGTTGTTAGTGTTTTGTCAATTTAGGATTGTAATATCATTGCATATCATTGTTGATTTTTATAAGAATGAAGCCAAAAATGGCTTTGACATTAAATACAACAGTACCTCTAGTGTTGATTTGTATTTTTTCTGTTTTTCTTACCTTGTGAAATATTTATGAGCAAAAATTTTGAGAAAAAGCATTATCTGAATCTTCATCCTCTCATATGCTTAGAACATATCCATTTATCATAAATAAAATTCTCTATGGATCTTATATGACTGTCAATAACTGAATAGGAAAGATTTAGGGTAAACACTTATTTCTTATGAATGTAGAGCCCAAGGTAGTAGTTGTAGGTAGAACACAAACTGACAGTAATGTTTTCAGAACATGCAACAGGGTGTGGTGGCTCAGGCCTGTAATTCCCAGCACTTTGGGAGGCTGAGGCGGGCAGATCAAGAGGTCAAGGATTGGAGACCAGCCTGGCCAACATAGTGAAACCCCATCTCTACTAAAAATACAAAAATCAGTCAGGCGTGGTGGCAGGTGTCTGTAGTGTCAGCCACTTGGAAAGCTGGGGCAGGAGAATCGTTTGAACCTGGGAGACGGAGGTTGTGGTGAGCCGAGATTACGCCATTGCACTCCAGCTTGGGCAACAAGAATGAAACTCTGTCTCAAAAAAAAAAAAAAAACTAAAAAAAAAAAAAAAAAAAAAAAAAAAAAAAAATGCATTCATTCAGCAAATGTTTGGTAAAGGCCTACTCTTTACCAGACCATGATCTGGGCACTTGGGATACTTTAGTGAACAAAGCGGACAAAGACAATCCACCTTCAAGGGGCTTGCAGTAAAAAACAATTGTGAGATTTAAATATACATTACATTGAATTTCCCTTGTGATAGCCGTAAATGAGCCCTGAATTCTGAATTCTCGTTCTATCCATGTTATTTTCAGGGATGTCCTTGGAAGTTATTTATTCTCTTTTGCTCAGTTGAAAAACTAGGATAAAAAGTATTTGTTCTATTTACCTCACACTAAGCAGATTAATATGTACATGATTTGGGCTAAGTTACTATCAATTAGCCTCGTTGTCATTGCTGTTAATATGGAGGGATTGAATTGCTGATCTGTTGAAAAAGCATCACAAGGATGAGTATTGATATTTATTTTGGAAATTCAAGGAACTTGGAGCTTTAATTCTTTCCTTTGGTGAATAATACGTTAAAAAGGTTTATATTTAAATATGGATAAATCAAGTGATGCCAGCCAGTCTGAAATAAGGAATCAAGAGATTAACTGGGTAGCCAGCCCTCTTATTTTCAGGAAGAACTCATGAAGTTATGCGTGTCCAAGATCCCACAGGGGATGGTTAATTACAGAGCTGGGTCTCTTAATTCCCAGGAAACTATACTTTTAATGATGCTGGTTTTTAGTATGTGGTTTTTATATAGAAGTTAGAAAAAATTTTAAACATGATTGGAAGCAGAAATACTGAACATGGTAACCGTTTAAAGAAGGGAACATAAATAAATATTGCTCATAAGCCAGGAATTACTGGCAAACCTCAGCTTCTCAGATCAAGAACAAATACTTTGTTGGTCAAACTAATGTCATCGTAATTTCAACATCTAGATGTCTTTATAGGTTGACACAATTTGGAATCTTTGGACATATTTGGGTCCAAAGCTCCTTTTCTTTCCAAAAGAAGAGCCCTGTGGAGACAGTCACACTGTTTATGGATATATAGTCTTCCTCTTAAAAGCTGTTAGGGATTCTGGGTGCAATAATAATAGTAATAAAATTTTTAATAATATTAGTAATGTTAGTTACAGTTAACACTTAACATAGCATGTATTATGTGCCAGGCACTATAATATATGTGCCAGACCTTTATATCTGAATTAGTAGCTTAGTCCTCATAACAAACCTTTGAGATTAAATCTAATTATTATTCTCATTTCACGGATGAAGAGCTTATGCAAAAGTGGTTAAGTAGCTTTCTCAGTGTCACACAGTTAGGAAGAGGCAGAGCCAGGGTTTAAACCCAGGAAGGCTGACTTGACAGTTATGTTACGTTGCCTTGTCATATGGGTGGGGAGAAACAGTGAAATATTTTTACCAGGATGCTCTGGAGAAAATTTGAATTGGCTGGCTGGGCGCGATGGCTCATACCTGTAATCCCAGCACTTTGGGAGGCCGAGATGGGTGGATCACCTGAGGTCAGGAGTTCGAGACCAGCCTGACCAACATGGAGGAAACTCCAATCTCTACTAAAAATACAAAATTATCTGGGGGTGGTGGCTCATGCCTGTAATCCTAACTACTCAGGAGGCTGAGACAGGAGAATCACTTGAACCCAGGAGCAGGAGGTTGTGGTAAACTGAGATCACGCCATTGCATTCCAGCCTGGGCAACAAGAGTGAAACTCCATCTCAAAAAAAAAAAATTTGAGTTGGCAATCTCTGTTAAACTACAATATTTGTGAGTTTATCTCAACCTGAATGGTCTAGCTTAAAAAAGAAAAACATTATACTAGGTGGCTGTGTTTTTTCTTTTAGTTTTTACTTAGAAGATAAAAGCGTCCGTTTAGGATGAGGCTAATTCACCTAGGTTCCTCCATAGTGCAGATGCCAGGCAGATGCCATGTGCTGCTTCATGGAAGTCTGTTCTTCATTTGGGTCTTTTCTTTGAAAGTTTCCAAGGAGTCTTACAGATATGCTTGTTGGAGGGTATAGCTAACTGTCAATTTCTCTAAGAGTTTGTCTAGCTTGCTTGTTCTATAGCACTGAGGTCCTCTTGTTGCACAGAGTTCATTGAGGTGCACATTGCAGTAACCCACTTTCCAGTATTATTACAGAGGGAAGGCTCCATGTAAATAACCTGATTCCTCTTTTTTTGCCTCCACTGTTTGGAAATTTTAAATCAGGGAAATAACTCTCAGGTATGTGGATATTCTTACCTAAAATAAATTCTTGTGAACATACTCCACTAAAATAAATTACTGGGACTTTACTGTTGTATTCCCTTATCAGGAAAATCACCTATAATTAGTATGAGTCAGTTATATCTTATAATTAAGGAAGATTAAGGCCACAATGATTGAAATTAAATAATATTTTTGATCTGAATTTTTTGTTGTCTTTTTTTCCCCCTCTTCTATTTTGCAGTTCTTCGTGCCATGAAGGAGGACAGTGAAAAAGTTCCGAGCTTGTTAACTGATTATATTCTGAAAGGTGAATTTTATAATGGTATAGGTATGATGGCTGGGAAGTTTGGATTAATCAGTAAATGCATTGTCTTGCTAATAGATTAGATAGTAACTTCCCAATGCACAATTTTCATTAATTTTATTATGCAGGGTGAGGATTAGATACATGACTAACTTCTACCAACATTATATGTTATGGTTTTATAAAATTTAACTTTTATTGGAGGTTCTGGGCTGGAAATAATCTCCACAGCTAAACTATAAACATTGAGGGAGGCAGTAGAAGAAAATTAGTGAGGTGTTGCCATCATCATGTGGGTATCATGCTGGCAGGTTGACACGGAAATTTGAGAAGGATGGTCTCTGTCATCTTGGGGACAGTGCAAAGGAAGGACAGATCGTTAGTGAGGATGGATGAAGGAAGAGTCACTTCTGTGAACAGTGCCAAAGGGAATACAAAAGGGACTGATGTAAGGCCCAGGGAGGGACGCAGGGAATAAAAAGAATGGACTTTCCTAAGCTCAGGGCAGTGAAAAAGCGGCCACAAATCTTAGAGGCAAGATCAGGCACACACAGGATGGGAATATTGATGAGGCAAAAGAAGAGTGAGAAGTTGAGTTACTTTGCTGAGGAAATAGCAACATTTGGCTGATGAAGGGACTGAGGACTTAATTAGAGGCAAAATTAATACTTTTCAATGAAATATTTTTTTAAAGTAGCAGTTATTCAGGGGCCAGAATTTGCAAGCATCACAAAATGCATCTTGTAGTGTTTGATCACATTTTGAGAGCAATCCTCTTCTAATAACAGTTTTCTTCTTTGGGTTCAGTCTCTTCTCCATTAAAGTTAGCTGAGCACAAGGAAGATGCTTTCTGAGACATTCGAAATCTCAGATGGACTTTTCTTAAACCATAGCATCATAAAAGGGGAACCTCGGTAGTATACACAGTGCTCAGTGAATCACACGTTTCACTTGTAAGAGTCTTGATGCGTTAAGATTAAGAAGCATGAGCTAGCCATTAGTGGGTTAACACTGGGCTACAGCAGACTGAATTAACATCATTTTAAAAAATAAGCTTTTTTTCTGATGGAGGACTTTTTCTCCCTATTAAATGCTGAATTTTTTTTTTTAATACCTGACGTCTTTGTTTGCTTTTGTGTTGTGCTAGCATTGGTATAAAAGCTGGATTGTTCTGAGGTTTGTTCTAGATGTGAAACAGGGATGAGACGAACATAAAGAACATGTCTTAAATTTTAATTTTAGCGGGTCCCTAGGGCTCTATGAGGGACAGAGGCAGAATGAGCTTCTGAAGCATTCTCTAGCTCTTTTAGCATTTAACTGCTTGGAAGGATGTTATGACCCAAAGAACAGAGTCCTCTGGGGGAAAATGATTTTTAATTCTCTACTCTGAAAACCTAGGACTGTAATTGTGAACCTACCTATACCGCATGCCTTAGGGAAGCAGCACCCATCTAATTCTGCTCCTCATGCTCGGGCCGCTGGCTCCTGTCTGTAAGCCCAGTTCTATCTATACTGTACCTGCTTCTGATGAGTCTGTGTGCATGTGTTGTGGTTTTGTCTTGGCTTTGTATTGTGAGGACTGGGTGGAAAAGAAGCAAGGATTCAGACTACAGTGGAGACTGTAGTCAGAGAAAATGAAGACGGGAGTGTAATATGGAGACCTATTTAAGTGTGTGGGAAGGTGCTGGAGTGGGGTCATTGAAAATGCTCTTTTCCACCCATCCTGAAAGTTCACAGCTGGTTAACTGTTCCTTTTCCTTGGGGACCAGTAATTGGACGCTTTGCCTGGGAGGGGGATATTGCTTAAGGGGATAACGCGCCTTCCCCTTTTTTGGCTAGTTTGTTGTTGTTTTAACACAGATGAGAGAGTGGCTTGGCTGTCTAAATACACCATCTTAGTTTTAATGCAAAAGTCAGAAGTGAAAGAAGGCAGAAAAGTGGTCTTATTTGGCCTGAGAAAGGTAGGGGGGTGGGCACTGTATGGGCTGAGCCTCTCTTTCACACCTGCTTCATTGCCTGACTGCAGCTTGCTGCCTTGACAGTACCTGAGGCTCATTCCGAAGCCTGGCCATGCTGATCCTAGTCAGGAATAAAAATGTGTGCACAAGGGAGCCTGTTTGCTGAGTTATAAGCCTCATGGTATAGGGTGAATGTCATGGGCTTCTGTCTTCAAGTGGCACCCTAAGAGATATGGCCTTTTGATATCTCATTTCTAGGCAATTATCTAATGTGTCTTGAGAGAACTCATCCTTGTTGGGTAGAGCCTCTTAAAACCTTTAAAAAATTGCAACTATAGATCTTTGCATTAATGTTTAGTTCCCATTACTGTTTTTAAATGTACTTGTAAAATTTACATTTTGTGTACATGTATACAAAAGATATTTTTATCTAAAAGTTCTCTTTTTCTTCTAGTTCTGTGTCCTACATAAAGCAGCATTACTTCAGGAGCAGCAACTTTATCTGCGGTGGGACTCCGAGCTAGATTTCCTACAGCATTATTCTGAAAGCTGGCCACCATTACCTTCTTGCTATTGGAAACTCAGCACATTTGAACTTCGGTTTGATTCAGTATTAACAGATCTTGGCTTCCCTAATTCTTTATATTATAGAACCGATGGAAATATGGGCACTATTTTGAATTCTAGAGATGGTTTTAAAGTCTACTAATAATTATGAACTGTTCTTAGTACAGAGAGTAGTAGTAATTGTGCATGTGCAGTTATATTTCTCATTAACTGACAGTATGCCCGTTTGTTTTTACGGCTTTCTAATCTACACTGCACTGATGAACTAGATTAAAGCCTTGGGAGATTTATGCTACAAATTCAGTGATAGCAAGAACCAGCACTGATTTTTGTGAGAATTGTCAGTATAAATATTACCTACCAGTATTGTTCAGAGAGACTGAAAGAAACTTGGGCTGTTCTTGAAGAGGCAAAACCAGAATATGCATTACAGTGGCTTAATACTTAGTGAACATTGAAACTGTTGGTGATGATTGGATTTTATAGCTTGCTGCTTGTTTCACCTTTGGTAAAATTTTAACCGTTAAATTGCCACTTTTAGAATCTTGTATTAACTTTTGAGATGTTCCAATGTTCTGCTTCATATGTCTGTGAATTGTACTTGAATAGTTTGTATCCTCTGAGGTGCTTAAAGTGTATCCTGCAGAACTGCCCATTCCCATGACGGTCATATTTTATTCATGCCTGTGTGTTTTTCTTAAGTATGAATTCTAGAAACAGCTACTTACGGGTTCAATATCATAAGCGCTTTTGCCAGTTCCAATCAAATCAATGGCATTTAATAAATTTTTTAAAAAGTAAAAATAGTATATGTTTGAGAGCTATATATTTGGGAGTTTGTCTTGTATTTTTTTTTCTTACAGTGCTAGATTCTTTCCCTTAATTAATTCCATGCAGAGCCCATCGCTACAGTGTGTGAGCAGGTGAAACCCTGATGAGTCCCAGAATGCTATGGAGGGGAGAGAGGACTTTTTTAGAGGATGACGAGATGCTGTGGAATGACAGAAGTCCTGCTCTTTTTCTGGGGCTGTGAGACATTCCAAACAAACAGCCATGCAGCCCTGTACCACAGACGACATGAATGAAGTTAAGAGTCTATCTGGGACCTGCTACAGGAGGCTTTCCCAATTCCACTTAAACAGCTGTGAGCAAACAGGGCTGTGTGTATTCCTCACTCCACTCAGCAACTGAGACACCATGTCTACAAAGGCAGGAGCTTGGTTTGAAGTCTAATGCCTGCTTGGCATTTCAGCTGTGATCCAGGTATGAGAAACTTGAGATGGTTTCCTTGTTTTATGAATGTTCTTAGGTGGAACTTACTGGCCCTTTCCCCATGAATTGAAGATACATAACACAGTCATATTAACAAATTAATTTGATGTGACTTTGTAAAAATGATGCCTTGTACTGAAGAAATGTAGTTTTACAGGATATATAATACAGCAGAAAGTTTTTTGGGGATTTTTTTTTTTTAAAAAGGGATTCAACAGTGATCTGTTTATAGCTCATTCTTAAATTGATGCTTCTAAAGTGTATGAAAATATACCTATTTTTTCCTACCAGCTCAAAATCCCTTTGTAGTTAGGCTTCCCCTGATTTTGCTTGGTAAAAGTCTTTCTCCTTCAGCATTGAACTGCTGTCGGGTTGCCCACCACAATGCTCCTGTGCATAACAAGTTAGTTTTGATACTAGCTATGAGCATGTTTCTGGCAGCAGGTAGGTTTCTTGTCTCCCTAAAAACAGCACCCCCATGCTGTGTACTCTGAGACACACTTTTCTTTTTGCAAGGATTTCTTGGGAAAGACCTGCCTAATGAGAAAAGCATGGGGACTTCTTGTGACACCAGAGGTTCACTGGACTGATGACCTTACAAGGACAGTTTGTCTTTGGGATCCCAGAGATGGAATCTTTTTGAAAGTTACACCGTGTGATTTCAACTCAAAATGTTTATTTCCTGCAAGAATCAAATTGCAAATAATTCTCTTACAGCTTTGTTTTTTGAAGAAAACAAAAACAAACTGTAGAACTATGGTGCACTCCAAGTGCCATATATCTATTTTATTCTTCAGGAAATTATATTTGTTTTTCTTTTACAAGAGTACAACAGGAACCAAAGTAAAAGAGTAACAGATACAGCACTCAGGATAAATCATATCTTTAAAATAATAATAAAAAAATTTACACCTTGTCCTATATCCTGTTAGTATTTTCATAATATGGCCATGATTGAAAAAACAAAAAGCAAGCATCTACAATTTTTTTGATAAAGACTTTTTATGCCAGGAATGGATTAATTACCAACAAAATTTATACTAATCAGGCTGATGTCAATCATATTTTGGTAACATGTCATTAACAAATTTATTTTGGAAAAAGATAAAAATATTGCCCCTTGATAATAAATCTTTTTTTTCCTTTGATGCAAACAGCTAGAACACCTTTTTCTTTTTCTTTTTGATATTCTAAGACAAAAAAATGGTTAATCTTCAGATTAATAAATTAGGTCATTATAATAATAAATTAATTTTTTTTAAAGTTCAGCAACCTCTGTCCAAGTATTTACAACAATACTTGAAAGTTCCTTTACAAAACAGAACACATTTTCTTTTCACATTAAGCATACTGGGTATCTGTGTCTTTCACAACAAGCATTTTTAAAAGAAAACTCAATGCACAAATGGGTTAATTAGTATAAAAGTGCTAAGGGCTGTTTGAAAAGTTAACACTATAGTATACAGTCAGTTATATTTGAGGCATACTACAACAAACTTCCAGCTTATTGTGGACAATATTCCAGTAGTTGTTTCAAACCATTGTTTGAAAAAAAAAAAAAAAATCCAGGAGCTGATTAGTGATGCAGATAAGAACTGCCATTAATGTCTCTGGCCAGTGAGCAAATTGAAAGCCAACTGAAAGCAAATCCAAATGAGGAAGACTTTAATAAAGGAATACCCTTCTCCATAGCAGGTGCAATGCTGACTGCTCAAGGCGTGCATGCACACACACACATACATACTCTCACACACACATTTTTGCAATTAAACTGCAGGTAGAATGAGATTTTGTGTTATTCAGAAAATTTGTAAGTGATCAAAAGCATTGATATGGAATGCTTGTTTATCTGCCTTTGTTCTGGTTAAAATCTCATAAAAATACATTCAACAGGAAAACATAAATTGTATGTGTATAAATATATATGTATATATATATTATATACACATGCACACAAATAGTTTTGTTTTTTGAAGCATAACATAGTTACATAAATACTCCTATAATTGCTAAAGTTTAAAGAGGCATCTTTTTTTTTTCAGCTTCAACAAAGGTGCTTGAATAATATACAATTAAAATGAAGTAGTTTCTATTCTGTAGAATCAGTATATAATAAGGAAAAAGAATCCCCAAACAGTCTTTTTTAAAAAAGTTTCTTCTTAAGCTAGAGCTTCAACAAAAACTATGAACAACCAACAATAGAACAAAGCAACAACAAACAGTGAAATATAGCCCCTGGATTTTGCCTGGTGTTCGTCACCCTCTCCCTCCTTCCTGTCACGTTGTTGTAAGAAAAGCTCCAGTGCTCACATCAAGAAATGACTTAGATCTTGTTCATGTGCTGACTCTGCTAGGAACTGTCTGATTGGCTTGGAAGAAAATAAAAGCAGCAAAAAGTATAACTGTATATATTCTTAATAACCCGCTTTCGAGAAATGTCGCTATCGCATTTCTCTGGCTTCCTCACTGCCTACTGCAGTTGTGACTGTATAGAAAAGAAACTTGTGGCTTTAGACCTGGGATGGCTGTCAAAAGGTTCTGATACGCTCGTCTGGTAGTTCTAAGGTGGTTATGGCAGCTGGGTCGCAAGGCCTTTTTTGTTTCCTGCTCATTCAGGCCTGAGCTTTGCAGCAGCCAGTGCAGTCTTCAGAGCAATAAGAAAAAAATACCCTCTGGGCCACTGAACTGCTTTTATGTTACCAGGTTTCTCCCCAAGCCAAGCTGACCAATTTTTCTTCCTGACACCACCCTCCCACCCATTTCCCCATCCAAACTCACTGTCCCCACCCCAAATATCTCTACAGCTATCTTACAGGCAAATATATCTTAGCAACTTTAAAAACTTTGGTTCTAAGAAAACACTTGGTCAGTTATCTTGAGGAAAAGTGGGAATGCTTGTTCTGCACACTGCTGTAGACAGAGCCCATCCCAGTAAGGTCTTAGCGCTGTACATCAAGTCACAATCCAATACAATCCACTAAGCAAGTGCACAAATTCTAGTTTACTTTTAAGAGCAGATTTAGTTGTCTTCTGTCTTTTGAAACCTCATCCGAGTTGCCCTTCTTCACACTGTTTGGTAGAAATTGTCTGCCTGTAGATGGTTCTGTTTTTGCATGCTGTAGAAGCCACTGAATCTTGCATCTGGTTCTGCAATTCTTAGCATTCTCTGGGAACTGTCCACCTGGACTCTGGTTCCTTTCTTGCAGTCCACAGATACTAGCTGATTACTTAAGGAAGAAGGCTATTTAATGAGAGGAGGAATAAAACCACAAAGAATTAGCTGCTTTATATTATCTCAAATGAACAGAAATTTAGTACCTAATTCGAGTGAGATAACAGTTTCACAATTCATTGATAGACTATATGCAGAGTATCACATCCTGTTCTAGTATCAACTATACTTTTATGAGGGACACCAACAAACTGTATTTAAGGGTGAAATGTCAAGAAATTACGTCAAATAGGGACATAACGGAAGTGAAGACACAAAAAAAGACTGGTGAAATGATTTCAAATCCTTGAAGTGCAGACCTGTGTTTTAAGGGGCTGAATGAGCAGCAGGTAGGCAGATTTTAAAAACAAAGGGATAGAACACCCTCATAGGCTGGGCCAGCCCATGTGTTTCTAGTCATTCTATACACTTACTGAGTGGGTCTATTGCCCAGCTTTGGACACTGGTAACTATCCCGACCCAGCATGTGCCCAGCATAGAGGCTGTGCCCAAGGCACATTTGTTCACAGAAAAATAGAAGGCAGGATAACTGCAGGACAGAATTTTCACATGGAAGAGTTAACCAGATAGTAAATTATATTACGTAAGTGTTCAGGCTGTTTCCAATTCTTAAGGTTGTATGATTAAACTAACTAAAGGCAAAAGGTAGAATTACGAGTTGGAGGGGATTATGATTTATTTCCCTTAATCCAGTTCTTATCTTTCAAAATAGGCATATTTAGAGGCCCTTTATTTTTGTACTGAAAACAAACATGTATCTTTTCTCTCTCAATATGAAATCTGCCTCTCCGTACCTTGTCTATTACTTTCCACCATCTCTTCATCTTTTGTGACCTTTCCACTTGATGCTTGCCTCTGATGCATCCACCTGTCCTTTTGCCTTTTGTATATCCTCATGATCTCCCAGCCTTCTCCTGAATATTATTCTCCCGCCCTTTGTGGTTTCTTTTCTCTCCCAATTTTAAGATGTCTGATGACTGAGAAATACCAGGTGATGAAGTTTTAATGTCTAATATAAACAATGATTTAGGAATAAATCCAGAGGTGTTCATTCATTTGAAAACTTTAGAGTACATCCAGAAAATTGGATCCATGTAAGGTCAGGATTCATTAACCAATGGATAATGGATAATTCACCTTGTGATCAGTCCAGCCCCAGGCAAGTACTATATATCTGATTCATACTATATAGCCTGGTATGGATTTGAGGCTATGAATAGCAAAGTAAAAATTTCACTGGTTAAGACACAAGGTTTCAAGCAATTTCATTATCAGTGTAAGTTCTCCTAGATTCATGATT